AAAAAACCAAAAAAAACAAAAAGAAAGAAAAGAAAAGAAAGAGGCTTCTTAGAGAGAAGGGTAACGGCATCAGTTGTTTAGTGAGCATCTTGGCGGGCTTGAAATATTGCAGAGGGTGCAATGGTCAGATTTGGGCCGGGAGACAAGCATGCAAAACGGGTGAGGGTAATGGGGGCCCCAGGACAGAGCCACGTAGCGGAGGGAAAGGGTAAGTGACACAGACTCTCTGCTGCTATTTTGAATATCTAGATTTAATTGATGGGCAATCAAGTTCCTAAACAGACAGACATTTTGGAAGAAATTTAAAGACATTGAAGGAAATATTTGGGCAAAATAAACTTTAATTGACGGGGTAGTGGAGGGAGGATGGCCAAGGAGGCTCAGCGAGGCTTTTGCTGGAGTCTGGTGAAGCCTGGGGGTCCGGGGCTGGGTGTGCATTTACTGTGTAGAATCACAATGCCTGTTGGGAGCCTCATTGGCCACTGTAGCTGGGAGATGAGAGGGCTGCTGGTGCAGCCTCCTGGGGAAGTGCAGAGGTGTCCTGGTTGCCCCTGTGTGCGGGGGTCAGGCAGGCTGTGGAGGAAAAGTGGGGCTCAGTGTGTGGGGCTCAGCTCTGAGGAGAGCCCTGGGCAGTGGGCCATTCTTTCATTCTTTTACTCATTCAAATGTTTTCCAGGTCTCCATTGTGCACCAGTGCCTGTACTGACCAGAAATGTCACACAGGGACATACTCCCGAGGTGGGTCTCTAATAGCTAATCATTGGAACAAATAAGGATTTTACAGTACAGAAGGGTACAAGCAGTGACAGAGACATCAAACAAAGGTACTGCAGAATTGGGGGCTGGAGTAGGAGTAGGAAGTGCTTGGCTCAGCCATGACACAGGAAGACTTCTAGAAAAATATAGGCAGAGATGAGAACCACAGAGATCTCAGCCTGGTGCCTCTGTCCCCTGAACTCGTGACTTTGCTGCTCAGATCCTTAATCTGGGGGCGAGCTGGTCCACCTTTTGGCCATCTTCCTATGGTCTCAGCAGTATCTGGGTGCCCCTTCACTGCAATTTCTAGCTATAATGTACTTCCCCTCAAGTTTCCCCTATGCTCTGACACACATTGACCCTCAGGCTTCCCAGGAACCCCTGGAACCTTAGTCCAGACTTAGTCTGAAAATATTGGGTGTGATCTCTCCCCGGCCAACAGACTGGAGAGAAAGGGTTGGAAAGGTAGGGAAAGGGACCTGCCCCCCTTCCCAGGCTTATTCCTAGAGCACAAATATCTCAGGTATCCTCCTGCAGCTCTCTCCTCTCCTCTCCCCTCACCCCCGTTGAGCCTGGAAAGGTGCTGTTTGTCGTGTGCTTGCTCCCCAGGGCAACCGGCCAGGCAGCAGGTGTGTGTGCTGAACAAGGCCATCTCCGGAGCAGAGTGGCTGGAGATGAGCTTTGTTTAAATATTAAAGAAGTCAATCATTAATCATGCCTGGCTTAATGCCCAGCTGCCCACTGTCTCCATTCGGGAGGGCCTGCGCTGGGTTAGGGAGAACCACGGGGCAGTTTGTGAGACTGTTTGGCTCTCAGGTGACCAACAAGGAGCTGTCTGGGACCACAGTACATTATGCAACCAAACACAAGGTGGGCCAGGTCAATGGGGAGATGTGAGGCCCGCAGTGCTTATGAACTGGATATCATCAGCTCGTAAAAGAATGTCCAGTTCTACTTGAGGACATTTTGTAAGGGGACTGAAGCAAGGCCCTCTTTCTAACCAGAACAGAGACTTCTTGGGTTCTGCAGTCCCAGCCAAGTCCCACATACCCTCCAAACCCCATAGCTGGATTCCTAAACCAAAGCAGGCTGTTTGAAGAATCAGTTGTGGGGTGAGGGCCAGTTCAAAGGGACACACTAAAACCCTGGCTCCTGAACCCCTGGGGGGAAGCGGTGTGGCCTGGAACCAAGGGCACACACAGAATCATAGAGCTGTTGCCTGTGTTCATGGCCTCACATATGAGTTTGCAAACACACAATCAAAACACCGCGTGTAGCCAGGTCTGCCTCAGCCGCACCCAATCACTGTTGTCCCCTCCCTGTCGCCCACCCTCCTGGGTTCAACCCCCTTCTCCTGTCCCTCAGCCTCACCAGTCTCACTGGTGGCTAGTCCTCGCTGTACTACTCAGCTGTCATCCACGGAGGCGTCCTGTGGTGGTGTGTGAAGATCCGAATGATTAGGCCGATCACACATAGCATCAGGACCAAGCAGAGACCCAGCAGGATCCACTGTCTTCGGGCAGCCTGTTGGGGCTCCGCGGGCATACCCAGGAAGTAGGTAGAGGGTAGGGTGCTGAGTACCACGCTGTCCTGGCCTAGTGACTGTTTTTCTAGGAAGTACAACCTGCAGGCCAGTCCCAGGACCACCAGGAACATGACCAAGCTCAGAACCAGCAGCATCCACTGCCCAAATGTAACCTGGTCAGGCTTCATCTGTACACCCAGTAGGGCCACTGTGTTTGTACTTCTTTCTGTGGAAGACAGGAAGAGCTCATAGTGCGGGTGGGCCTAGCAAGAGGCCCTTAGGGGATCTGACTGTTCCTAGACTTTTCTCTCAGCCTCAGGTGACAGGTGAAGAAATTGCTCCGGGAGGAGGATGAGAAAGAATAGGAGGAAAATATGTGCACGGTAGGGAGATATACCCATGGGACCTCATCAGGAGGCAAGATGTTGACCCTCTGCTCAGACACCAGCCTGGCAGTCTAGCTGGGTGGTGTGAGAAGCAACTGAGCCAGGGCTGGGCATGGCTGTACTCCGGCCTGGTAGAGACAGGTTAGCCAGCAGCAGTGCTGTGCCAGCTCAAGCAGGGCAGTGGACAGCCTGAGAGTTATGTCCGGGTCAGGGTAGGGGAATGGCTCAGAGCAGGGCAGAGTAGGGCCTAGGTTTACGCTAAGGCTGGGCTCAGAATCAGATTAACCAACCTTCAAAGGAACAGGTGAAGTCTGGCCAGCCTAGGATTTCGCCCTGCTGCACGTTCTCAGCCACCAGCCAGCTCAGCAGTGGCTTGAAGTAGCTCATGAGGGCCTTTGTAGACATATTGGACTGCCCAGTCAGCTCCTTTAGGACCTCTCGCCAGGGCCTGCTGGAGCCTAGCTTCAAGGCATTCCTGGAGGAAGTGAGGGTAACTGTAAGGCTGTGAGCTGAGGCGTCCACAGGTACTGCTCGGACCCCCTCAGATCCCTCCAGGCTTTGCCAGCCAAAATCTTCCCACAGAGCTCAGCATAATGGAGACAATCACCAGCTCTGAAATGTACTCATCTGAGTCTGAAGCTCAGCGCAGTCACTTAGTAGCTGTTGTCTGAGCCTGGGTTTCAATATTCATAAAATGGAAATAATAACAGTGTCTACCTTATAGGTTTGCCACAATGCTGAGAGGCAATAAATGTTAACTGCTGTCCCTGATGTGTATTAGACAGCTGTGATCATTATTCTCCTGGACTCAAATAGGCACAAAGTCTGTGCCACTTTCCTGGGACGTATTCAGTGTCAGCGGGCAGAGGTAGCTCTCCAATCCTTTCTGGGTTTACAGGGTTTAGGAGGACTCAAGGTCTCATGAGTGTGGAAGATGTTCTGTGTATCACCTGCAGCACTGCACAAATGTCCGCTGTCTCAGGGCACCCCTGGTGCTAGGCAGCCGGTGGTAGACCCTTGGCTTGGCCTATTGCACTTGCTCAGTAGGGGTACAAGATATGCCAAAACCAGGACTCCAGCCTCCTCACCCTGACTCCTGGCAGAGCAGTGGTGGGCAGGAATGTTGATCCTTCTCAAACTGTCATTCTCTGATATGACCAAAAAAGAGGTGAGATCTGAAGGCCCAGAGGGCATCTCTAGGGTCTGGACTAACAGGGACCCAGATTCAAACACCAGCAGTACTAATTCTGCACTCCGTAACTTCTGGCATACAATTTAAGGTCTCCCTTAGACTGAGTTTCCGCTTCAGGAAATGGGCTGCATGAATACTTCCCCATGGTAAGGATTAAATCACATAATAACCAAGGAGGACTTTGTATCCTGCAAAGTCTTACACACACCACTTAATAAACAACTGGGAAGGAATGAGGTGGGGAAGCTAAAGGTTAGTGGATTCTTGGAAGACACTGTTGCAGAAGAGTGTAGCTAGAGCCCTGAAAAATTAAGGTTAAAAAATTTCAAGATTAAAAGGAAAAAAACAGCAAAAAAAGAAAAAAGAAAAAATTCCACGACTAACTCTAGAGGATTTTATCAGATGCTGGATCTTGGGTACAAAGAAAAAACTAGCAGAGGGAAGCTTCAGTTACTGAAAATCTACCTGTTCAGAAAGAAGGCTATAGGCTGGTGGGACAAGATATGTGACCCAAGTCCAGCCTCCACCTGGTGTAGAGAGCGCAGAAGGCCAGAGGCCACAAAGCTGTCAGTGGGCACTGCCTGGAATGCCCAACTCTAAAGTGGTAATGACAGGCCCACAAACAAAGCCAGACCCACCCACCACAGCTGGCTGGCAGAGGTAGAGGGCCTTTGGGTAATTACATGGGGTCCACTTCGACTCTCCCTTCCCAGCACCTGGCCAGGGTGTTTGGATTTAGAAGGATGAGTCAAAGGTACCAAGATCAAGGTTTAAGATGCCTTAAGCATGTCAGGCTCAGTGATGTGCCCCTGCGGTCCCACCTACTTGGGAAGGTGAAGGAGAAGGGTCCCTTGAGTCTGGAGTTTGAGACTGACCAGGGTTACATAGCAAGACTCCATTTCACAGAAGGAAAAAGACCAGCCAAAAATTTTTTCCTGCCCCGCTATGAGACAGAGAAATCCTGAATAAACCCTCTGGAATGAACCCATGTCATCATTTTGTGTGTGTGTGTGTGTGTGTGTGTGTGTGTATGTGGTGATACCAGGGATTGAACTCAGGGCCTCATGCTTGCTAGGTTAAGTGCTCTACCACTAAGCTACATCCCCAGCCCTTCACCTACCTTTAGTCAACCTCCAACTACTCCATGCCTGAGCTCACGAGTATCCCAGTGCCCTATCCTTGAGGAGGTGAACATGAGAGTTGGGTAACCCTTCTCATGCTTGGCCACCTCAAGAATCAACTATCTCCTTTACAACACTCATTGCTCAGTGATTAGCATCCTGCACAGCAGGCTAAACCAGCCAGGTTGAGTAACACCTGCTTTTCCCTCCTCCCCTAATCTCCTGGTCTTCCCTCTCACCCTTGCACAGCCCACATTCCACTTTGCTGCTGCTTCAACTTCCCCAAAATTCATAATATCTTCATTTCTCAGAAGCCTCTCATCTGCCCACCACCCAGAAAATGGTGTTTAAGGTTGTCAGCTTGCGAGATTCAAGATCTTCCTGGATCAGGGGTCTGGATTCACCTGGTATGTCATAAGAAGTGCTTTGTACTTTCAATTCAGGTCCCCCAGCCTCTCCAAGTCTACTTCAAAAGCAAAGCAAAACAAAGCAAAGCAAAGCAAAGCAAAGCAAAGCAAAGCAAAGCAAAGCAAAGCAAAGCAAAGCAAAGCAAAGCAAAGCAAAGCAAAGCAAAGCAAAACAAAGCAAAGCAAAGCAAAGCAAAACAAAATGCTACGGAGCAGGAGGGACACTTTGATTTATTCTCTCTCTCTCTCTCTCTCTCTGTATTAGCAGAAGGGGCCAACAGTGTCTGACCATAAGATGGTCAACAAGAAAAAATGTGCTGTCATTCATGTAGGAAAGACTGCAGCCTGACACAAAGGGATCTAGCGGTAGGATGTAAGCTTAGTGAAGTTCTGCCCAGGTAGCCCAGGGTGGCCGGGTGAGGAAAGGGGCCTTGAGCAGGGCTCCTTAGGAGGGAGACAGAGCAGCTGAGGACAGATGAGGGAGGAGGCCACTTACTCCAGGATCTTCCCAGCTTTCTTGGAGTTATAGATGTCACACTGGTGCAGGGGACCCACGTGGCCCGAGGCATTGCACAGAGCCTCGTGAAACTGGAACTGGAGCACTAAGCTAAGGAAATACCTGGAACACAAGGGCAGGTTGTGGAGTAGGTCAGGGCTGAGAAGCCCCATGCCATTTCAGGCTAGGCCGCGCCAGTTTGCATGCCAGCGGTCACCATCTGGATGCGGCTCCCTGGGCAAGGCCCTGCCTTGAGTTGGCCCTAGAATATGAGGGCCCTCCTTGCATAGCCTTGTGAACCAGTGGTCACCCCAACCCTTGTGTTCCCCTTTCCTGTCTGCTTCTGGGGCAGCAGGGATGGTTTAGAACAGAATATTCCCACCATCTCTGCTCTCTACAAAGGATCTAAGGGAAAAGCTCAAAGGACCGCAGGGCGTGGACCTAAGAAGGCAGTGTAATCTGATGGGAAGAGCTAGCCAGAGGAGTGGGTAGCATTTGGACCCGGGGCCTTGCTGGACATCCTCAGCCTCACCTCACGCCTCCCAAACCCCACCTCCCAGAGCTGCCTCTGCCGACAGGGCCCAAACCTTTACCGCATGTAGGGCACACTGGCAGAAACATGGAACTTGGCACCTGGGTCAAAGTCATCCTCTGTCCGAGGCACAGGTGGGCACAGGCCTTGGTGCGTTAACCTGGCAGGAGAAAAATAGGGTCCTGGTAGAGCGACCTGAAGAAACTCAAGGCATATGCTTTTTCAAAGCACTTGTGTGTGTATATATCAAAATCGGACTTGACATGCAGACAACGCTTGACACATTTTCATTCATTAAATAACTGAAAACACTTGGGATTGGGAATCAGAATGAAACCATAACAGCAGTTAACATTGACTGAGCACATTCTCTGTGCTCTGAGCTGTGCGCATGGACCCCTGCACTCTCTCCACACAGGCCTGGTCTCTGGAGAGGCGTCAAGAAGAATCAAGGGGGGCCAATCTCTGCTTGCATCCATCTAATGACCAGGAACAGATTATAGACTGATAATCAGGTAGTTTCCTCTAGTACGTAGTGTTAAGAAGAGAACAGAGAAACATCCCTGTGACATGGCATTAATACTATTGTGCCCCTTTTACAGATGAAGAAACCAAGATCTAGAGATCAAGGAAGTAGCCTCAGGACACAGAACTAACCACTGGCAGCCTGATTACTTGAGGCTGTTTTTGCCCCTCTGAGCTGTGCTACTGTGGGAGATGGTAGGACTGATTGTCACTGAGCCTTCTTATAAAATGACTGCAAAATGGGGATAAAATGACCTGTCTTTGGAATGAGACAGTGTCTATGAAGATATATTGTATTGTTGGTTCACTGGTAACTCTGAACCATCCCTGGGGTTAGCAGATCACTGGGAGGTTCTTTTGGAGGTTTCTTGCTCAAGGTCCAGGGAGCTGGCAGCCCTCACTTGACCCTGGGGTTTGTTGGCTGGTTGGTGGTAGAGAAAGGAAAAAGTTCTCTACCAGCCGGTAGAGAAAGGAAAATGTTCCCTGTGGATGCCTCAGATGGCCAGGGTGGGGAGGGGTCATGTTCTTGGAGGAAACAGGGTCAAGACTCTGCTGACTCCACCAGTGAGCCCTGCACCTAAAATCACAGGCTGGGGGTGGGAGAACAAGAGGAGGAGGAGGAGGGCCTAGCTCTGCCGTGGCTGGGGTGTGGCCTCGGGACTGGACATGTGGCCTCTGTGAGTGCCGGCCGCTGCTGCTGGGAGGTGACCATTTTGGATGAACTCAACACAGAGTGACCGCAAAGGAGCTGCAGGCCTCATGTCATGCTGTGTCCAGCAGCCTTAAGCTAGTCAGTCTGACGCCTGGTGCATATGGGGAAGCCCTGGTCATCAGCATTTAATATCCAATCAAATGCCCTGCCTGACTGCTGGTGGGCTTTGTCAGCTTCTGGGTGCTAAGCCTCTGGCAGCTGGGCCTGTGTGTGGGGGCAGTGGGCCTGCCTCTGTCCTGTGGGCACTCTTTCCCAGAGGAAAGGTGCTCAGGCCCGGTTCATCTATCTTCCTGGCCTCACTGTGGGAAGAAGGAAGGAAGGGAGGTGAGGGGGCCTGCTTGGTGGTCAGTGTTCTGTTTCTGGAGAATCCCAGTAGCAGTCATGATGGGAGTTTTCTAGAGAACCAGGGAGCGGGGGAGCCCACCAAGATCCCTTTTTCACAGATGAGACTGAAGCCTGGAGAGGTTAAGAGATCTGCTCAGTGCTGGCGCCAGATTCACAACGAGGCCTCAGGATTGCCTGTGCTGGGTCTATGCACTACAGCACGGCTGATTTTGTCTGGTGACAGCGAACATCCCACACTGCCCTGGGATTTCTGTAGGACTGAGGATCACCAGCATTGTACCCCGACTATGCTTTGAAAGGAGGGGCCCACACCGCTCTCTGGCAGTGGTGGTCAAGCGCTGCCCACACCAGGTGTGGCGATGGAGCAGAGCCCCCAGGGCAGCCACCTTCCCACCTGAGGTTCCACCACTCCTGGTTGTAGATGTCCTTCTTGATGGTGCCATCAAAGACCTTCCAGCGAAACCTATCCACCAGGTAGCTGAAAGGTATGAAGGCGATCTTCTCCAGGGCGATGCTCATCAGGAAGTTGATTTCCTCCTCTGGGGATGGAGTCAGGGCAATCAGGAGGTAGCTCCTGAGCTCTCCCTTCCTTTACCCTTGCCTGGATGGCCGCCCTCACCCCCTCCAAGCTGTAGCCCCAAGCTCAGGCTTCCTTCCTAGTGTCCCTTTGGGCCCCACCACCTGAGTCCTGGCGCTGGACGCCGAGCAGGCCTGTGCTGAACAGGTGCTTGTGGGAAGAGGCTGAGAGGGTGATCATGGACCCCACAGCCTCTTCAAAAGCAGGGTTGGCACCTTCACGGAAGATTACAGAGAGATTCTGGTATTGCATAAAGTACTGGATATGACCCATCTGGTGGAAGACGGAGAGCAGGTCTTCTATGGTCACCTCAGTACATTTCTTTACCCTAGAGTTAAAGGGCAAGGATCAAGAGCATGAGGATGCCCTGGGAAGACTGGGATACTTCTCCCCAGACTTCTTTAAGGAATTGGCATGGATAGGGTGGGCATCAGAGGGCCCTGGTTGCTATCCTTTCCCACTCCGGGCCCCATATCCAATCAGCGACCAGGACCATAGCTCACATCCATCTCCCCTGCTGTGCTTCTGGCTCACATCCCCCCTCCCCCGGCTGGGCTCTCCCTGGGCCTTCTCCTTGCCTATGCGGCCTAAGACAGGCAGCTGGGGGAGGGATGGGGGTACGGAAGTACAGTGGTGGCCGCGGGCCATGTAGATGATCGTTACCTGAAGTCATCGCCAGTGTAGAAGTCCCAGGAAGAGGTTTCGCACTCCACCTCCCGCCCATCAGTCGGCATCTCCAGCATTGACTTTTTCCAGAAATTAGGTGGGACAGATAGGAGCCCCAAGGAGGCGAAGAATTTGTCAGCCTCTTCGAACATTTTCTCCGGTTTCCAGTGCTGTGGGGAAGAGGGAGCACGTGTGCACTGCCCTGATCACCCAGGGACCTGTGGATAAGGACATCTAGGGGCTAAGCACTGACCTGGGTTTTCATAATCTGAGTGATGTCCGCAGGGGGCTTCTTGGGAAAAGGCAGAACCAGGTCTAGGATCTTGTTCCAGGACTGAGCCCACATGTTCCCTGGAAGGAGAGTGGAAGTGTTAAGAGGAAGTGAGAACGGTCTGCCTGCTGACTGAGTACCCACCCCTGCCACCAGTGGACCCTTACCCAGCAGGTGGGCAGGGATGGGCCCCCGCAGATTGATGAGTTCAGGCCCGTAGTAGCGGTGCAGGGCACGGCGCACATACGCATGCAGGTTGATGTACAGAGGCTGCAGCTCCCGGTACAACTGCTCCAGGTCCTCCTCCAGGGTGTCTGACTCGTACTTAGCCCGCCACAAATCTCCCATGTCTTTGTACCCTAGGGCAGGGGAGGGGACTTGCCAGGCACTCACCACACCACCCTTTCGCCCTGGTCTTTCAGGCAGGAGACCCAGGTGCCTCCTTGGGAAACTGTTCAACCTCCCTGGTCCTCCGGATCTTCCTTTGGGAAGTTTACCTCCCAAGGCCACTGTCCATGTTGGATCATCAGAGAGGGACAAGCACGGAGCGAAACCCCAGTGTGAGCTCCTTTCCAGGCCTGCAAGGCTCTGCCTTCTCTAGTCCCTCCTCATCCTCACCACACCTGCAAAGTCCTGTCCTGGGTCACTCAGCCTGGGTACTCCCTCAGCCACAGCCTGTGGCCATGTGGACTTCTTTCAGATTCCCCAAACTGTGCCTCCCGCCCAGTGTGGGGCTTCTGCCCAGCATGCTTTTTGCTTCCTGCTTGGCCGGCTGTTGGCCATATTTTGGGCATGGGTAAATGCTGGAGGCTTTCCTCATTTCCTCCCTCAGCAGCGCCTTCCTCTGCAGCAGCATCACCATACGTGGTGTTAAAGACGAGTGTATACTTGCCTATGGTAGTTCCCTACAGGACTGCAAGCCCACAGGACAGGCAGCTGTCTATTTTTCACCTACATAGCCTCAGAACCTCTGTCCAGCACGCAGGAACCGCTCTGTTTGTATTTGTGGGGCCCACCTACAGGGCTGTAGTTCCCACCTCCAAGGTCCTGAGCCTTCCTTTTGAAGACCTAGCTTTGCCCCTTCTTGGGCACTGTCCCAAGATCGTGTTGTGTCCGGATGGCTCACCATTGAGCTGTGCCACTTTGTTGCTGAGCTGCACATAGCGCCAGAAGATGGGGCGGATCTGGCGACCCACAGAGTCCCGCCAGCCCTCCCAGGCCCACAGCAGCTCCTTCTGGTCCCTGGAGGTGGCCATGATCTCTTCGAGGTCTGCGCCCAGAAAAGGAGTTACATGGGACCCCCACGCCCTCCCACCTCTGCCCTTATCCACCCTGGGTGCCCTCCTCCAACAAGAGAGCACAGTTGGGGTTGGGAGGTCCAGAGAAGGGGCAGGGATTTGGCACTCACCGGGCTCCAGGGGCATACAGGGCCCCTCATCCAGGCAAACCTCGGCCAGGCTGTACGTTGTCTCCATGTAGGCCAGAAGCTTGTTGTACTGGAGGGGACAGGTGTCACCCAGGGCAGGCCTATGCCCCTGGGCTGCCATTAGCACTAGCACCACAAACCAGAAGGGGTGGATCTGGCTGAAACACCCACCCTCCTCCCCTAGAGGAAGTTCTGCTTCCCTCTGCAAATCCACCTCCTGTCCCAGACACTGGCTCCCCACCAGGTGTGACCCACCCTTCCCTGGGCTAGGGAGGGTGCGCCTGGAGCCCTGGAACTCTGTCCGTCACCTCCCAAAGCTCGTCCTCGGGCAAGGCCGCTTTGCCTATGTCCTGCAGCTTACTCAGCATGCGCTTCACAGCCGGGTCCTGGAACTGGGCGATCTTAAACAGGTGGGCTCGGGTGCCAAAGTATTTCATGAACTGGGACCTCTCCAGCTCCTTCTGCAGCTGGAAAGAGGGTCACCGTACTGGTTGTGGCAGATTGGGAAAGGCGGTAGGTGCCCCACATTGAACTCCTGGGGCCATGACCCCCCTTCCCACTCCCAAATCCCATTTTAAGGGTCCAAAATCATGAAGATTTGCTAGGAGAGTGAGTGAGAAAAGCCTGAGTCCCTAGAAGAAAGGAGGAAGGATTTAAAAAGGGGGACGAACCGAGAAACTCTTACATGAAACAAATTTGAGGTGATTTACGAGGTCTGGCGCTTGCAACCCACTTTAACATGTGCCTTGGGGCTTCCCTCTCTCCTCTAGCTCTAGACAGGGGTCAGCAGGTGTGGGTCCCAATTCCCAATAACCTCTGAGAAGGGCAAAGGGAGGAAAGAGTAAGGGGCAGGAAGGCGGAACCATACCATTGCCTGTTGATTTGGCTTGGTGATGTTGGTGACATAGTTCCAAGTGGCCTCTATGAACTGCTTCAACACATTACTGGCTGTTTGGTCATAAAACTGCAGGAACAGCTTTGCCTCAGTTTCATTGTAGTAAATATCTGCAGGAAGGGGATTATGTGGTCCTGGGGGGGCCTGTTCCCACCCAGAACCCGTGTCTGGTCCCGTGCTTCTTCAGGTCTCCAGCCATACCTAAACTCGGATCACCCACAATCCTAAGCCATGACAAGAGCTGCCCAAGGTAGAGGAGTACTAGTAGGGATCCAGGGTGAGTCCATCTTGTTCCCATGACCAATAGAACAGCAGAGCTGGGGGAAACTATGGCCTAATCACAAGTGAGCTCCATATTATGACATCAGTGGCTAAAGGGCCAGGCATGGAATGTCAGATCTGGAAAGTCCCCACCCACCTTCTGGTAAACTGTCTCTGTTTTGTAGGTGAGGAGATCTCTGAGGTCCAGAATGGTCAAGCTACAGAGCCAAGAGGAGAACTTGGGGCTCTGGACTTTTAAGACAGAACTCTTCTTTTTTGTTTGGTTACTTCTCCTTGGGATTGGATCCCTACTTGGACCTTATTCAGAGACTGATGAGGCACCCTCCCTCCAAAGCTAGGATTGCCTCTGTGTAGCTTTGTGGGTGGGATGGTGGATGGCTGCATGGAACATGGATGGATACATGGAAGTGACATTTCTGGCTCTTCAGGCTGTGGGAACCCAGTTGTCTCCCTCGCTTCTTCTGCACAGCCCTCTTATATTCACATTTTTAGCTTTTTCTCTCTCATGGGACATGTGATCATCCCTGGGGCTGTGCAGGGCATTTCTTCTCACCTTTAGACCTGGAAAAGCTGGTCCTTACACATGTGCAGTCAAGGGAGACATCAGGGTAGAAGGGTATGCGGGTATGGAGTGCTTGTCCGTGAGTACCTGAGCCTGGTTTCAGCCCCAGTCCCAGCTCTCAGCCCTCTGCCAGCCCTTGGCTATCCTCCCCTACTCTGACATGTGTGGTCTGAGGAACGCATCTTCCTCTGTCCTCCACAGAGCTCCTTCTCAGACTCGTTTTCCTCCACTCAGAGATTCCCCCATCACGTGTCATTCTCAGCCCCGGGCCACCCACCCCTTCACATGGGCTGCCATCATGACCAGAGAAACTGACCAAATAACCCCCCAAATATGATCCAGTGTGCTCAAAATATATTTGAAATGTAAGAAAAGACAAAAATCAGTGAAATTTCTGGTTAAACTGATTAAGCTCACAGGGAAGTCTCCCCTGCTTCAAGCCTGAAAACACACTTGATGAAACATAAGATTTTGAAAATACAAAATGCAGAGCTGAACTGGAAAGGAGGGAAGGGGGCTCCTCGATCGCTAGAGATGAATAAAGCCCCTGTGGCGGCAGGTGGGAACTGAAGCCCTGTGGTTGCCAGGGATGGCACAGTGCCTCCAGCCACAGGGCTGTGGCACTGGTGTATGTATAGGGTAGCTGATCTCCTTCTGTGGGGCGGGAGCAACCCCTCCATCATGCTGGGAGCTGGGAGACAGCCTTCTTTCTAAGGGAGCCCTGCAGCAAGCAGATGTTTGCATAGGACCCTGCAGAATGCTGTTCCAGTTGAGTCAGGACGGCTCATGGTTCAAGTTTATGAAATAGAAGAGAAAATCTAGTGCCAGGAGGGACTATAACAATAACCAGCACCCCACCCCCACTACCATTAGGAGGTTCTGTGTATCGGAATCCTCAGAACAAATCCATGAGGGAGGCACTGTGCTCAACACCCACTTTCAGGCGAGGACACAGAGGTAGAGTGAGGCTGAAGAAGCTGCTCACAATCACCCCGCTAGCTCCAGGCCCTCTGCTAACACAGTGCATAGCACAGTACACACTTAGGAAGGACGAGTCTCAGCTGTGTGGAAGGGACTTACGGGCTGGGGATGTAGCTCAGCGGTAGAGCACTTATTTAGTATGTGTGAGGCCCTGGGTTCAATCCTCAGCACTACACACACACACACACACACACACACACACACACACACACACATATACACACACACACTTAAAATACAGGTCATTGTTTCAAATACAAAAATTAACTCAAAATGCAACAAAAGCCAAAAAAGAAAAATCTATAGAAACTTTTAGAGGAAAACACAGGGGCCAAGTGTAATGACCTTGGCTTTGACAGTGACTTCTTGGATAGGACCCGAATGGCATGCTCAGTAAAGACAACAAAGAGACAAACTGAACTTCATCAAATTTAAAAACTTTTGTATATCCAAGAACATCATCCCGGGTAAAATGGAGGAAACCAAGAATGGTGGAGTGGAGACCAGCAGCGAAGTGCGGCCTTTGGGGATCCAGAGTCAAAGCAACCATGTAGTGAAGAGAAGGAAGGAGACGGAGCTCCAGGAATGGGGACGGAGCCGATGGGAAGACTGGAAGCTGCAAAGCTGGAGAGATGGAACGCAGTGCAGAGAAAGGAACGAGGCGGCCCGTGAGCTCACCTCGGCTCTTGGGGAGGGGTACTGGCCTCCGCGGACGCAGGGTAGGCCCAGGGAGAGATGGTGGCTCTGGGGAGAGACACCGGGAGAAGCCCACAGCTACTATAAATTGCAGAAACGGTATGGTATTTTACTCTGAAGTGGCTCTTTCTGCAAAGCAGGCTGGAATTGGGGAGGAAGTGCAGTGCCATGCCCACCACTTTTGAGAGGATTTAATCAGGAGCCATTTTGGGAAGGGATTAATTGCTCTGGGACTGAGCCCAGAGCAGCTATACTCCTGGGTTTCTGGGGTCACCCTGCCACAGTGACTGGGTGGGAGATGGCCACAGGAGATAGTAGTGAAGGTGGTGCAGGCTGGCTGTGGCCCCCTAAGAAGTTTAAACTCAGGCTGAGAGGGATGTGGGGGTCCCCAAACTCCATGGCAAGAAGCTAGACCAGGTATGGGTGGCTTACAGAAAGCCTCTAAGTGCTGGGTCTGCAAGTGCTGGCATTAAGTTCTAGCAGACTAACACCCCACCCCGCCTACGTCTAGCACAGAATTCAGCATCTGTTTGCTGCCCCCACCTACCAATGTGAGCAAGGATACAGCTCCATTTGGATGGCTGCCGTGGCCTTGGGTAACCAAAGGGACCTCTGGCATGGGGGTGGGGACACCTCACAAACACACAGGCTGAGAGCTAGTGAGAGAAAACTGTGACTCAGGGTACACAGAGGGATGGGGAATGTGGGAACTGCCAGAGTGAGTACGGCCTTGAGGCAGACACCATCGACTGCCCACATCCCCCAGAAGGGGCAAGGCAGCATCCAGCATTCACACAAAAACATGGGTGTGGAGACAAAACAGGTCTCAGCAGTGACTCACTATCCCTGCCCATATCTGCTGGACGACCAAACTGCAGACCCTGGAAAGAAAGAAATCATTCAAAAACAGAGGAAATTTTTGGACTTCTTTACTCTTCTCTTTTCTTTTCTTTTTTTCCTTTCCTTTCTTTTTTCTTTTCTTTTTTCTATTCTTCTCTTTTCTTCTCTTTCCTTTTTTCTTTTTTTCTTTTCTTTTCTTTTCTTTCCTTCACTGATTCTTTTTTTTTGGTTTTTTTTTTCTCAGGTACTGGGAACCGAACTCACAACCTTGCGCTTGCCAGGCAGGCGCTTTGCTGCTGAGCTAAATCCCCAGCCCCCCTTCACTGATTCTTTAGGGTGTGTGTGTTTTCCTTTTCTTTTTAAATCTTTTTCTCTTTTTTCTTTATTTTGCTCAGTTTTTTCTTTTTCTTCTTATCCATTATTTTTATCTAATTATATTAATTTCCTTCTACTTCTTAGTAGAATCCTTTATCTCACTTTTCTGTCCTTTTCATATTTCTTTATTTTTCAAATTTTACTTCTCTCAGGCCCTGTGGCTGGGGAGCTCTGGCCCTTCAGTGCCCGGCACACCCGTCAGTGCAGGCACCCGGCCTAGGATGCTGTGAGGCTGGGGAGCGTGGGCCCTTTGGGGCCTGGCACACCCTGCCACGCAGGTGCCCGGAAAGGCAGGCAGCAAGCACCCAGGAAGTGGAGTGGAGATGTGTGCCAACCCTTGGGCTCGCCGCCACCATGCAGTCAAGAAACACCATGAAAAAGCACCGACACAATAGGCATACCCGGAGACATGCGTGAACCATCCCAACATGGAGAAACCTCTAGGAAAACATGCCACAAGGCGGGTCGCTCTTGGCCCTGCCCTTGAGAGCCAGAAAGGTCCTGAGTCAGAGGAGGAGCAGCTGATGAACAAGGACTTGGAGAACACGAGAGTACTGATGCCCGACAACTCAGAGGTCGAGCTGACTGGGGACGCGGGAGCCATCCAGGAGCTGGAAACCAGGAGGACCTTGCGCAACACCCAGGGAGACCCCTGGAGGCCATTCTTACCCTAACTGTACTGGCTGTGGTGGAGGAGTGAGTGGAGCTCCTGAGCAGTCTGCACCAAGACTTCATGGATTACGTGGGTGCCCAACATTCAGACTCTGAAGAAGTGCCTTCATGGAGAAGGTATGTGTCTAGGTTACCTGCCTGGGACACTTCACACCTGATGGTGCTGAGACTGACTAGCGGGCCAAGGACTTCATCCACATGTTCCTGCCGTCTGTGTTGACAGTTGGGAGAGGACACTAAGTGGTTGCAGGATCCCAATGTGCTGGGAGGCTAGAGAGAACACCCCTCTGTTTTCTTAGATAAGAGGCATTGATAAAGCATACTTCCCTGGATCCTAGTTCAGTAGAGGGACACACTATTCTTAAAGATAAGTTTATTACTCAGTCAGCCCCAGATAGTAGAAAAAATCCAGAAAAAATGCCTTTTGCCCAGCTGGCTCACCTGAGATGTTAGTAAGAATCACCTCCTTAGTTTTTTATAGCCATGAGGAGGAAGAGGAGGCCAAAGAGAGAAAACAAAGAGATGAAGAAAAAACAGCTGCCTTTATTGCAGCACTAAGAGAAACAGACCCTAAGTCTGATTCTTGAGGCCCTAAGAAGAACTCATCAACTACATTCATCTGCTACAGCTGTCAAAAGTCAGGCCATCTCAAGAGGGACTGCCCTAAGAAGCCCTCTGGGCCATGCCTTGACTGTAAAGGTGACCACTAGAGGTTGGACTGCCCTCCTAAGTGAAGGCCCCAGAACTCAGGCTCCTCCTACCAGCTGGTCTAACAGGAATGAAGGGGCCCAGGGCATACTCTGCCTTCTCCCTCTGGCCAGACCGTTATCTTCAAGGAGGAGTCCTGCGTAATCATGACTAAGGGGAAAAAGTAAACAGCCTATTGCTGGACACTGGTGCTAGTCTCTCAGTCTTTCTTTTCAATCCTGG